TAGCTCTCTTCGTTTCTGAGCAACAGGGTCTTTTTGAAAATTTTGCAATTTTGGACACCCCCTGTATCTCTGTTATTGTTAAAGGTATTGAGACGGTGAAAACTGTTTATTGTAGAACTTTTTACTTAGAATACAATGGCGTAGTGTGTTATTCTACGAAAAGAATATTTTTAAAAATATGAAGTAATGTTTTCTTAAATGGAACATCCTATATATCTACAAATTATATAATCTGGCTTGCCATAAGCTTCTCAAAAATATATAACACTCTATATTTATTTTCCTTATTTAATGCAATATTTAAAAAAAATATATTAAAAGATCATATTAATTAGTAGGCCATGATAATAAAAGAAACTAAAGAAATATTAAAAGTAATACTGGCTATCTGTCTCTTGTTTTATTTTGAGAGCCACTAATTAATTCTTTGTATATTAGGGAAACTTAAATATCTACCGTTATTTGTAAATCTTGGAAGCTATCGTATCGGAACTTTTAAATATTCCTTTAGCTAATTTACGTGAAATATACTTCAGAAAGATGGGGCTCCCCCTCACAACTTAACTTAACGAATTTTGTTAAATTATTATTTCTCAAATCAATTAATTGAAACCAATGTACCAATGTCTACGTAAAAAGTTCTACAAGAATCAGTTTTCACCTACTCGATATCATCTATAATAGCGGAGATACGGGGGTTGTCCCAAATTGCAAAATTTTCGAAAAGACCCTGTAGCTCAGAAACGAAGAGAGCTATGAAAATGTTGACAGCATCTTCCTTTTGACAAAAAAGTGGCACAGGTTTGTGCAAACCGCACCCTTCTATCTTCACGAATAACTGAGATACCGTATGATTTCAACCAAAACGGGACACCCTGGTCAATTCCGGACTACTTAATTTTGTACTTTATGCCCGTGGGCCAAACTCACCCGCTTATCTGCTTCATGGCCCTACTTTTTTTTACTTGGAACACACCATCGACGGAAGGTTCGTTTATTTGTAAGAATTCATTTAAGAGAATACCAATGATAATGATTTTTTTGGGAGTGCTGCCATCATGCATCAGATTCTTTTGGTTTTGAAGCGAAACTGATTACTAATTTTAACTAAAAACAAACCTTTGCATGGAATATTGCAAGAAATAAAGAATCAAACAGGAACCTGATGACGGCAGTACCCTTCAAAAATGTCATCATTATCATTGGCATTCAGTCAAAACGAGTATAAATTAAACGGCAATCAAATGTTTTGTCAATGATGAGTCGTAAGTAAAAAAAATAGTACGGCCATAAAGTAGATAAGTAGATAGGTTGACATAAATGTCAACATAAAAGTGATAAATTAGGAATTATTATCGTTACTGTAATGTTTAAAATTGGCATCGCAAAAATGTTTAATTTTTTTTTGCAGTACAATATAACGTGATGAATTTAGTTATCTAGAACGTTGACCAAATACGTTAAGATCTGGTTTTACTTTTATTTCAATCAAACGTTTACAATTTGGGTATGCAGAACAACGTGCGACATTTTTAAGTTGAATGTACGTATTGATGACGTCACGGCAGCCATTTTTTACGAATTGGTTCCAAACAAAACAAAGTACTGTCAGTGTCAGTTTGTATCAAATTTTGTTTTGTTTTAATAATCTTTTATGCGTTTATTTAAGTATATTATGTATTCTAAAAGTTATTTATTAACTCAAGGTAAGCACACTGGTGATGTATAATTTAATTTAGATTATTTTTAAAGAGCAGTTTTTATTCATAAAGTAAGGTTTTGTCGAATGAAATGAACAACATGATTATTCTAAAATCATTGTTTAATGTTTACTTATTATATACATATACTTATTTTTATTAATAGATCATGGTTATGTGTTTCGCCCCAACATGTAAACACTACAGTGAACAAAGAAAATGCAAGTTTTTCTATTTTCCTAAGGATCCTATAGTATTTAGAAAATGGATTCAGTTGGTGAGGTAATATCATTATGCCAATACTTATCTTAATATTCAGTGGAAGGAACTCTACTGAGTGTACATTACTTTTAATACATTAAGTGAAATTAACTTTTAGACGTCAAGACAGAGAGCCCAGCATGTACGCTCGTCTTTGTAGCTGTCATGTTGTGAAAGAGGATAAAGAGAATCTTCCAACAATATTTAGTTATAACTTAAGAAAATCTTTTGACTCTTCAGAAGATGAATCAATGTGTAAAAGGTTAATATTATTTTCTAATATTTTTGCTAATTAATTTTTTGCAAAAGTTAATTATGTCATAAATAAATATATGTTAAGTAATATCTAATCAAATATCAGAGCAAAAAACGAGGAAGATATGCCTCAAGCTAGTATCTGGGCTACAGAGTCAACCTCGTAAATCATTGACAACTGCTTGTGAAGAGGGGTTGCTAGAAAGTCAACCTCTTACATTATCTACAACCCCTTGTGAACAGGAGTCATCTGATGAAAGTGTAGAAATGTCTGGACCAAGCAAAGAATTGGAGGAAGTATCTGCTTCTTCCGGACCAACGACTACAGCCACTCCAGCCACTACCGAACATTTTTCTGCATGTTGGAGTCGGAAATTTTTTATAAAACAAAAAATCGAAAATTTATTCACAGAAAAATTAAAATTGGAAGCCTTTTCTTTTGTACATATAAAAGATAATGATCGCATTATAATGATATACACAGGAATTCCTACAAAGGATATATTTTTATCTTTATTTAAACTGTTTGAAAATTTAGAGTTGACATATTTTCATCAATGGCACGTTGTGAATATGCCAAAAATTGACCAACTTTTGTTAACATTAATGAAACTTAAATTAAATTTGCTAAATGATGACTTAGGCTTTAGATTTAGAGTTAGTAGGGCGACTGTCTCAAATATTTTTAAAACTTGGTTGTTTGCCCTACATGAGGTACTAGTTAAACAGTTAATGGCCAATATTCCATCTAGGGAAAGGAATAAAATGTGCACGCCCACTTCCTTTAGTCCCTTTACTAATTGTAGGATTATAATTGACTGTACAGAAATTAATACGGTACAACCAGGACAAATGGACCGACAAAAGTCAACCTATAGTAGTTACAAACATCGTAATACATTAAAAGCACTGGTGGGTGTTGCGCCAAATGGTGTTGTAACATTTGTAAGTCAATTATATCCTGGTTCTACATCAGATAAAAAAATTACACAACATTGTGGTATTCTTGACAAACTAGAGGCAGGTGATTTAATATTAGCCGATAAGGGGTTTTTAATACATGACATACTGCTCTAAGGAATGTCACTTAATATACCACCATTTCTAATGACCCCACAATTCACACCAGAACAAGTGTTGAGAACGCGAAAAATAGCTAGAGCTCGAATACATGTAGAGCGTGCTATACGACGTATAAAGTCATTTTTGATTTTGAATGTTATACCTCCAAATGTTATTCCTTATTCTTCAGAAATATTCCAAGTGTGCGCTGCACTAACAAACTTACAATTTCCTCTAATTAAAGAAGTGGAAAAATTGTTTGATAATTAATTTTTTAACATATTTATATCATATAATTGAATGTATAATAATTTTAAGACAATTATTTTAATAATATGTTTCTACAGTCTCTTTGAATTTGTGGAATGTGTATTTTAGTAACTTGTGTAGAAATAGCGACATAATTTTATATGTATTGTTATATATTTTTTCTTTTTGACTATATTTTGTTACTAAATGTGATTTTATTTATATATCTGTGTATGGTTTGTTAACTTTGAAATTAGTAAACAAAGTATGTTTTAAGTATTTTATTTTTGCATTAGATACCTATTTACCAATATTTAAAAAAACATATTTTGTATCTAATAATATTTTGTCATTTATGTTGTTCATCTAAATAAATTAAGAACACAGCTAGATTACTGAAAACTTTATTAAAATTAATACTATATTACATATTAAACCTACTAAAATTAGAATAATAACAATAATAATTATATTTATCTATCCTAAAACAAACAATATGTACTTAAAATTAATGGATTTGTACTAGATCAATATTAATGTAATTATAAATAAATACATCCATGAATAATGAATCTAATGTTTAATATTTTATTAATTTTGTAATATATAAGTATAGCATTAAAAAGAAATGCTGCCAATCAACTATGGCAAGTATTCCTCTAAATAAAATGCTTTCAATATATCAAGGCTTTGTAACCATTCTTCATTTCTATACACTTCGTGTATAATTAATGTCTGAGGTGTCCACAATACAAGGTAACACAGATTTTTATTTGTTATGAATAGGTTACCTTGTATGTCGTAGTAGTACTCATCTAGTTTAAAACAAAATTGTTGTTGATTTTTTTAGTATATATGTAGAGTCCTTCTCTAATTCTTCTTCTAATAATTTGTTCCGATATTTGTATGGACATTTAACTTGTATAATGGCGTCTTCCCCAACAAGGCCATCTGGCTAGATCCAATGTAGCCACATGCATCTAACCAAAGTCCAGTCTTTTTTACTTCTAGACCAGTGGCCTCTTGGAATTGTAGGGTGGCTTCATTTTCATTAGAAAGGCCATATTGTATGGCTGCAACGCCTTGAAGGTTGTATGTTCCTATAAAACTATCAGTAATTAATTCAAATATTTTTTTTTTCTGTAATGATTCCAGGTTCAAATTTAGTTACATCTAACGTATCTATCAAAGCACTGTCCATCAAGAGCAGGGATGACATATAACAATTTTTTTTATATTAAAAATCATTATCTTTTATCTAAAATGACAACATCTCTGTCACTATAATTTATATTCTCTAGTTGGATAGACAACAGATAACACACATATAACACATACCTGTTAACTTTTTGAAAAGCGAAGGTGGATATTTATTACGTTTTGTTGCTGTCAACACTGCCCCAAAATACTCGCTGTGAGACGGTTCTTCCTTGATGTTAGCCACTTCTCATTTAGGGATTGACCTATAGTTAACTGGCATAGTTCTCGAATTTGGTCCTATGACACTTGCATTTCCTTTTTGAAAAACTCAATTTTATTTTCTGCATTGCAATATTCAGCAGAAAATAAAAATTCTTCTACATCTTTTACCAATGTTGGTGTATTTTCAGGTTCAGGTCTTAGTAACCAACTAAAACCTAGAGTGGTTCTATAGCTTTGTAGGCCCTCACGAAATTGAGCCAATTCGCCATCTGTTAAATTTCTATTCACAGATGTGTGACTTTTCTCCTTGTATATATCTGATACCGTTTTACGTCTTCCTCTTTTGGTTTCCTCGCAGTCCAGCGACATTCAGTATCTGTAACTGATATGTTATAATGTCCATATATACATAAAGCAGCAACATGATGACATAAGTACTGGCCTCTAGGGCAATTACATTCTGATTTTCGAATGGAATCTTCATTAAGCTCTACCTATAAATATGAAAAATAACAGTTAGTTTTTGAATTATTATTTACAAATATTATAATTTACTTGGACATTATCAACACGATCTCTCATACTAGCATGTATTTCGCCTTTTAATAACCCTAAGTTTGCCACAAAATGGAAACTTTTTATATGGTTCGATTCCACCGCATTCTCTCCTCTCGAAATAAGCTTTATCTCATCAGCACCCGAAAAATAGTTCATAATGGAACTGAATTTTAGAACATGTTTCACGGAAGCCATGGTTCATCTAAAATAAAATGAATATTTGCCAAAAACAGTAAACAATACTATCATGAAAAAGCATTCTAACCTAACTTTATTTAAAAAGCAATTTTAATCTATTTGAATAAAGTAATAAACTAATTCTACTTTGCAAAAAGTTTATCACTTAATGTATCTACAAAATATTAAAAATTACCTGTTTGATCTCTTCTAATTTTTCAAAAAAATACACAAATTCAAAAAGCTTATGGCAGAACACGTTTCGACACAACAATTGACAGTACTTTGTTTTGTTTGGAACTAAATCGTCACAAAAATGGCTGCCCTGACGTCACAGTTACGCGGTCCATTAAACTGGTATTGCCAAAAACCCAATAATTACATAATTTTAAAAATAATAATTTCCAAGTAATCTAGATCACTTAGATCAGTTAATTTTTAGTAAACAAAACCACAAATTATATTTTGGTAGTATGCCGCTAGTGCCGCCATTCCGAATTTTAGTGTAATGATTTTAAAGTATTTTATGTGTGTTTTTCTAAAAATTTTACAGATTTTCACGAATTTTAAGTGCAATAGAGGATAGAAACAATAAATTGATAGCCTAAATAGTGCAATATATTACATCTGTTAATATTAATCTAGTTCATTTAGAACTAGCCAAATTTATTTGAGGTTAGACAAATTTATATCTTTTTCAAAATTTTTGGTTTGGTAAAAAAGTGTATGGCCAAATTTCCACACGCTTATGCAAGCTTAGTTCAGCTCTGAAAAAGAAAGATGACAAACTGAAAATGTTGAATAATTTATACAACACCGGGAAATTCAATTTCATCAATGAAAATTTAAATATAGTTGCTAAGGAATTTCTTAACTCTCAATTAAGAAATTGTAGTAAAAACCAAATGCGCGAAGATGGACTGATCAGGATAAGGCTTTTGCTTTATCAATGTATAACAGAAGTCCAAGGTTGTATAAATATTTACAACAATATTTTCACTTGTCTTCTTCAAGAACTCTAAAATCCGTTTTATCAAAAATTCCTTTTGATACTGGTATTAATCCAGCAGTTTTACAGCATTTAAAAATTCAGTCAGAGAAAATGAAAAGTGCAGACCGCTGTTGCACATTAATTTTTGATGAAATTTTTATCACTTCAGGACTTCTTTATGAACAATTTAAACAATATATATATCTGGTTTTAGTAATAAATTAGCTAATCATGTACTGGTTTTTATGATTCGAGGAGTAAGGAAACAATGGAAGATGTGATTGCTTATTATTTCATTAGTAATACAGTTTCAACAAGCAATCTAAAGTTGTTAATTCAGGAAATAATTACCAAACTCCAACAGATTGGACTTACTGTAGTGGCCACAGTTTGTGACCAGGGGCGGACAAATTTCGCTGCTGTAAACCAGCTTTGCCAAGAAACAAATTCTGATAAAAGTCCACATTACGTCTTAATTAACAATCAGATATATTTTATGTGCCTCATGTGTTAAAAAAAAGACATGCAATGCTTTATTAAAACGTGCAATTCAATTTGGAACTTCAGAACATTTCAATTTTTCTGATTCGTACGTGAAAATAAAAGTTAAAGTTGCTGCTGCTCAACTTAGTAGCTCTGTAGCTAGTGCTTTTAGTAGCTAGAGGCTTTTGTAAAGTTTTCAGTTTTACCATCGGATGTAATTTATACTGCAGAATTTGTAAAAACAATTGACGATTTATTTAATTCACTTAATAGTTCATTCCCTTTTTCTCCTGTGTACAAACCATTTAAATCTGCAGTATCTCAGAGTTCTCCTCATATGGAATGTTGGTCAAAGTTAGTGACAAAAATGGATGAGTGGAAACTAATTGATCTTCAAACAAACACCAATATTACCAACAGATATTCATTTCTCAAAGGTTGGTTCGATCAGTTGCTTTCCTCTGGAATAATTTAAAGAATGTAGATGGATTAATTACTTGAATGTCAGAAGTTTGAATCAAGATCCACTAGAGAACCTATTTTCTAATATCAGACATGGGGCAACTAACGCCAACCCACATGCCATCAGTTTACTGCAGCACTTAAAACTGTTGTAGTAAATAAATTATTTTAATCATCAAATATCTGTAGTAATTGCTAAGCTGATATGTGTACACCCTTAGATGATCTTTTGGGTCTGATACGCTTTGCAGATAACTCTCCATTAACCTATGATATTTCAATAGATTCTACACAAGATATTATTTCAATGGATTTTCAAACCTCAGACCTTGATAATTATCCTCCAGAAGATTGTCAGGGACTGGCTTATTTTGTAGGTTGGGTGTTAAAACGCATTAACATTTCTGATTGTAATATCTATGAAAATTTACTATTTTCACAGATAATTACAAACCGACATATGTTTACATCCTTTAAAGAATATGTAAGTTCCCAGAGACTGAAGTATCCAAGTGATTATACAATTTCTCTGATTCAAAATATAACAAATTGTTTGAAGAAGTTTCTTCATGAAAATGGCTTCCAGCGAAATCTGGAAGATCAGTTGAGATTTTATTTAAACAAATTGTTAATATCAAACAGGGAAGTTGTACAATACATGATATTAAAAGTTTGATTTTAGTACAGTTGTCGTACATCATTTTTAATTCATAAATATCACCATACACGAAAAATAATTTCTGATGGCCATTCTCAAAAAATGAAACGACTTAAAATGTCCTAAATATGTATGTATATTTGTTTATTTATTTATTTATGTCTAATATTTCTGTTATGTTCGTAAATATTTTATATACATATACATGCAACGCTACCAATACGAAGCCCCCTTCATCACGCGGACACGTCGAAGCCTGGTAGGCTCGTTTGGCGAGGCAAGAGGCGGACCTGTGTCGAATTTAATTCGGCTGGAATATTTTCTTGTTTTGACGGCGTACATCGGCCGGGCGTCATGTTGCTCGGTAGCGGGAAGCCCGGCGTTGTTACCGTATCTTTTATTTTTATTCTTTCCTACTTAAATCATGTAAGTAATATTTATTTAATGTAATTTGATGATTTTTATGACTCATGTGATATCAAAATATTTTATTTTTCAATAGTAGTAAAATGGCATTAACTATACATCGTATTTTTAAACATTTCTAATAACTATCGCAGAATGACTCACTGTTTTGATTAAACTTTTTAGCAGGTTTTCTATTTGTGTATTTAATAATTGTCTTTTATTTTTTTACAACAAATGGTTAGAAATAGTAGCCTAAATTAAAAAAAAATGTTAATCTATAGTGTCATAACAGACTTATTTCCAGGTTGAAGTTAAACTTTTTTAAATAGAATGCTATACCGGGTGCGTCTCAAAAGTGGCTCAACCCCTATATTTTTTTTTCAGATAAAAAGCACACACCAAACATTCACTCTTCGTTCAATAAATCAATAAAGAAAGCAACAATTTGCAAATTGGGACGTTAGGCTTTCATATATTCCTTGTGTTCTTTTTTTTTCTCCATTCTGATAGCAATACACCCGAAAATTAAAAAAAATGGTTATTCCGATTATACAAATCTATGTATATTTTTCCTATATAGAAGGATGCGATTAATAAGTGATAATCAATTAAGTGATTATCGCTTGGTGGCCATATTGTAATTGTCATTTTTTGAAATATTAATTCGGAAGTCATTTCTGTCAGTTCCACAAAATATCCCGTCAATTCTTATCACAAAATGGCAAAAGATCTTTAAGATAAGAAGGATATACATATGTACTATATTTCGTTGTATAATCTTTTGAATATAACTCGATATTTCGGATTTAATATGTCTAGTAAAAATTTTGCTAACGGATGGCATGGAGAATTTATACTGTAAGGTCTAAAAGGTATACCCTGTATGTGTATTTTCGGTAAACCGTATAAATGAGGTGGTTTACTGTAATGGGGTGTTAATAATGTTCGTTGTAAGTCTGTTAATATGTTTGTATTTGTATAAAGTTCTGTATATTTTTCTTTCAATAGTTGGTGTTGGGTCTTTTGAAAGTTTTGTGTAACTACCATTATTTATAAGATCTGTAATTTTGTTATTATATTCGTATAAATCTATAATTACTGTAGCATTACCTTTGTCTGCTTGTAATATTTTAATTGTTTTGTCTGTTTTTAAATGTTTAATAACTAACCTTTCTTCTCTATTAATATTAGGTTTAAACTTAATAGGTCTTTCTAGAATAATTTTTGATCTAACACGATATTCATCCGCGTGTTCTAAAGGTAATTTTTGTGCTATATTTTCAATAGCAGAATTTTTTGGTAAGATGAATCCGCCACATAGGTATAGACATTTTTTACGGTATGATATTTTAGCAGCCAGATACGGAGGGCAACTATTATATATTATCTTGTGAAATATTACAGTCGAGTGCATCCTTCGTCTTTCTTTCATAGATATCCATTTTGCTTCCTTTAATTTGTATGATATTGGGGAGAATTTCCTAATACCTGTACCTCAGACAGGAATTCTGCACTTTCTGAATCCTATTTATGTTGTTTTGGTCGAGACAGGGACCATACACCGTATCAGCATAATTGAAATATGAAAGAACGACAGTCCGTCAGTCTAATTTTTAATGAAATCGGTAAAAAGTGTCGATGTGGATAAAGCATTTTTACTTTTGAATATGCTTGCTTAATACATTTAGTAATATGGGGCTCAAATCTTAAATTTTTATCAAACACCAACCCCAAATTTCTAACTACTTCAACTATTTTTAGAATGTTGTTTCCTATTTTTAATATAAAATTATCATAGGCTGATTCGGAAGCTCTACCAAAAAGCATATAGCATGATTTGTTGGCATTAATTTCAAGTTGATGCTTGTGGGAAAATTCACACAATTTCTCCAAATCATTGTTAACGGACTCTACGGCTACACTAATATCATTGGGATAGAAGGAGTACAGAAGTTGAGTGTCATCGGCATAAAGCTGTATAGAGCAATTATTAACCCAATCAGATATCCTGCATATATATATGCTGAAGAAGAGCGGTCCCAATATAGATCCCTGTGGTACACCATTTGTGATGTATTTGCTACATGATTTGCCTTTATCAGTGATAACATACTGTTTCCGATTTTTCAAGTAAGTTTTTAATAATTGAATTGATTGTTCAGAAAAACCCAGGTGTTGAAATAGAAATTAAAATATTATGATTAATTTTATCAAAAGCCTTTGTATAATCTAACTGATTTTTTTCCGTTATCAAGAGCTCTGAAAATATCATCTGTAATGTTTAATAGTGATGTTGTACAACTGAAACCCTTACGGAACCCAGACTGATTATTTGGTAGCAAGTTGTATTGATCCAAATACTTTTTAATTTGCTCATTCATTATATATATATACATATATATATATAATACTATATATAATAAATGAATAATAATATAATTCCTCACAGTTACTGGATGAAAATGAAATATTCCCTGAACATTTGGGTGCAAGTTTTGTCTGTAGTGTTCTAAAACAT